TTTGCTGGGGCGGGGGGGGGGGGGGAGTTCTGGGCAGGGTGTGGAATAATAGGCCATTGTCTCAAGATTTGTGGGGGGAGGTGGCTGGCCCTGAGCCCAGGTGGTGGTGGCAGGTGGGACACAGGATGCCAGGTTGAGGGTCTGGATGGGAAGGCAGGGGGAGGCAGTTGTGGGGAGTGTCAGGAGTGGTGGGTCAGTGTGAACCACCGTGTCTGTCAGGGTGCCTTTCCTGAAATCTCCACGATGCCCTGGTTCACCCTCTTTGCCCCACTCGTCTGCCTCCTCCTCATCCGGGCCATACGAGACCTGGTGGATGACATCGTAAGTAGAGACACGGAACTGCTGGGGAGGGCATTGGGGGCAGGCAGGGTCTTTGTCTTGCTTCCACAAGGGATAGGTGCACGCACAACATGGCCCTTTGGCCCTTGCTGCCAATAGCTATTGTCCCAGCAGTTCCCACTTCCCCCACCAGGGTCCCTGGACAGATGTGGCTGGTGCGGGCTCACTATAGGAGCCACGTATATGAGCTGGAACTGCTCTGCAACTAGGCCCTTCACCAGGGTGGTGTGGGGGCAGAATGGGTGGGGGCAAGGCACAAGGCTGTGACAGGGCCACCCCTCTAACCCATCCCTATTGACTCAGGGGCGACATAAGAGTGACAGCACCATCAACAACAGGCCCTGCGAGATGCTGGTGGGGGAGAGGTGAGGCCTCTAGTGCTGTGTTGGGGAGTTCATCCTGAGGAAGGGAACTCCAGCACAAGTGTGTGTGTGTGTGTGTGTGTGTGTGCATATCAGGGAGGAGTGCCCAGAACCCTCCATGCCCCCCAGACATCTTGGTTGAATCTGATGTGTGACAGGGACCCAGCCATTATTTATTAGATGCCTGCTGTCTACCAGGCCTGGGATGTGTCTTGTGATGAGGACAGAGGCTGAGGACCTGATTGTTAACCCTTGCAGGCCTAAAAGTTCAGCGGAAAAGGGAGGCAGAGAAGTTCTGAAGAGACTTGGACAAAGAACTGGGGGTAGGGGCAAGGTTAGGGAAGGTTGGACTTCTTGTGTGGACTAAGAACCCCCTACCCCAAAAACCTGTAGGTGGGCACACAGGGAAGCAAAGCACCATGAAGGCATCTATAGCCCCAACCTCCTGAGGTTCTTTCTGCTTCAGGATGGCAAGAGGGCCAAGGGTTTCAAAGATGGGTCTGTTTGGGGCCCTCTCTTACACCTGCCACCCCCCCCCATAGGTTTCTGCATAAAAAGTGGAAGGACCTGCATGTGGGGGACCTGGTCCGTCTGCATGACACAAACATTGTCCCGGTGAGCTGTCAGCCAGCCCAGAACTTCCCACTTCTAGTGTGGGGGTGGGAGGGCCTGCCTTCCCACTTGTCTTCCTCCTCTCCACTCCTGCAATGCTATTTCCTTCCTCCCATCCCTACCTTCCCCACCCCAGGCCGATATGGTCTTGCTGTCCAGCACGGAGCCCAGCAGCTTGTGTTATGTGGAAACAGCTGACATCGACGGGTGAGATGTGGGTTATCAGTAAGCATTTGGGGGCCTGGGAGCCAGAAAGGCCTTCCTCATTCCCCAACAGCCACAAAATGTGGCTCCCCAAGCCCACTGGGATATTTAGGTCATTCATTCTGGGAGCATTTGGGGGCACTTGCAAGCTGGCAGGGGGCAATAACATTAAATCGGGTGAAGGGACCCATCTTTGCACCAACATTTCTAGAAGCCTTACTGTGCTCCAGGTATACCTGCCCAAAAGAAGGCCTGGAGTCTGGCTTCAGCCATTTTGAAAATGCCCTGTGTGATTTTGGGCAAGGCTTTCTTTCTCTGGGCCTCAGACTCCTCGTGGGCAGCTGGCATGCATAGTAGGGGCTCAGTGAAAATGTTTGAGTGACTTTTGAAAAGGGCTGGAGATGTCTTGCCTGGGTCCTATCTGTTCCTACCTCTTATCTCACTCCCCTTCTCATCATCAGGGAGACCAACTTGAAGTATAAGCAGGCCCTGTTAGTCACGCATCATGAGCTGACCACTCTAAAGAGTATGGCTTCCTTCCAAGGTAAGAGGTGGTAGTTCATCCACCATCCACCCATCTGGGCCTTTGTCTGCCCCTCTGTACAGTGGGCATGAAATTTCCCCATCTCACTGGCTTTTGGGGAATGGCAATGGCGTCTGCTGGAGGGAGGTGAAATAGCTTTTAACAGACCAGCTTATCCAGGCCTGTTTCATGTCCTTTGAATCCATGTAACAGTTGGGGTGTTTTCTGTTATTGTTACAAAACATGCAACACTCTTTTATCAGGCTTTTTTTTTTAACATTGATCACATTAAATGTTTTTGGTTGTTTAATCAAAAAGGCAGCATGTTGTGTGTACAGAGATAGGGAACTGACTCACCCATTGCAGTATGTTTTTATTTCCCACCTGGAAAGTGAGACATTTCACACCTGTGGGTTACAAGTGGCCCAAGGCCCAGCAAGGGGACACATTTTTTTTCCTGTCTTGTTGCAAAAACCAGTTACTTTAATTGGTGCTGGAGCAGAATCTTTTCTCTTGAACCACAACCCTTTTGTTCCTGATATTCAAGCACTGGCTGCATTTGTTTTCATGATATCTGAGGAAAAGCCTAGCTTACATGGAGAGCTAGGCACTGTCTGCCAGATGCTGGTCTGGTTCCCAAAGTCCCCAGGATGATGGAGATGAGGCTGGAACTCACAGGTATTCGAGACACCACTGGCAGGAGTACATGTCTAGTGACTCTCAGGATTGTAACCAGGAGGAAGGGGGATTAATGGAGGTGGGCGTGGGGGGGACCTGAAGGATCAGAAGAAAGGGTTTTCTTGATGAGGTGCAAGTCCTGGCACAGGGAACAGCATGCACAAAGGCCCTGAGGCTTAATAGAACCAGCTTTTGGAGCATCCAGAAGAGGAGGATTTATGGCAGGAGGATTGAGGTACCAATGGGACAAGTTTTGGGCATTGTGAGGATGGCTGGAGCCAGAAAGTGATGGGAAGTGTTCCCCACATCCTGCTCTACCCTGCATTGGAGAAGCATGGCCCTACCCCAGGCATGCCTCTCAGCTCCTTGATTGCTCTGTTACTCACAGGCAAGGTGGTGTGTGAGGAACCCAACAGTCGGATGCACTACTTTACTGGGCACCTGGAATGGGAGGGCAAGAAATACTCCCTGGACAGTGGCAACATTCTTTTACGTGGCTGCAAGATTCGAAACACAGACACCTGCTATGGAATGGTCATCTATGCTGGTATGACCACTCTAGGGCCCCTGCAGCATGAGCTGCCCTGGTGGGGGTGGGTGAGAACCCTCAAGTTGTTGCCTGCTGAGTGTCTGTTGCCACAAGATGTGGGGCTCTTGGCACAGCTTCTATGGAGCCTTGGGTTCTAAAACTGGAAATAAGCATATTGAGCCATCCCCCTTGGATGGGTGGCTAGTCAGGTAGGTGGATGGATGGGTAGAGGGGTGGGGTGACAGAGGGATGGAGGATGAGGTGGATGGACAGGCAGGTGGACAGATGGATGGATGCAAACCATGCAGGTTTTGACACAAAGATCATGAGGAACTGTGGCAAGATCCATCTGAAGAGGACCAAGATAGACCGTCTGATGAACAAGCTGGTAATCATGGTGAGCTTCACAGAGCCCCTGCCCTGGGGTGGGGGTTGAGGGACACGAAAGAGGGAAGGGAAGGGGCCCTTCCCATAGACAAAGGCTGTCATTTTTCAGGCCTCAGTTTCCTTCCTCTGCAAAATGTGTGCAGCCTGATCCTACAAACAGAGGTCTGTGGGCCAGAAAATATTCTTGTAATCAAAATCTTTAAAAAATTCCTCAATTCTGAAATTTTCAAACCTACAGGAGACAATAAAATGTTCACCTACCCTCCGTGGACATTTATTTAACAATTCTTAACTTTTTGCCTAATCAACTGTCTTTTTAAATAAGTCACTGTAATAATTTTTATAATAGCAGCCATAGAACTCAGCAAAACCCCTGCAAGTTCCCTCCCCCTAGGACTGCCAGCCACCTCTTCTCAGCCCTCCTCCCCCATCCTGATGGGTGGGGGTGCTTCCCCTCCTGTTTGTCTTTTACACTGTGGTGTGTCCGTGCTGCCTTGGGCTCCCCCCAGGCTCTACTGTCTCCCTTTGCTGAGCAGATTTGCATATTCGTGGTGCTGATCTCTATGGCCTTGACCTTGGGCTTCTGGAGCAAGGTGACAGAATTCAAGACAAAGCACTATTATATGCTTAGGATGCACATGCATAGTCTGACCACCGAGTCTATCTTCATACTCGTGAGCTTCGTCATTCTGCTCAGTGTCATGATGCCCATGGCCATGTTCATCACGTGAGTCCGGGGTACTACTCAGCGAGAGGGAAGTGGAAGCTCAGGTAGGCAACGGGACAGGGTGTGACCCAGCATGTGTTTGCAGAGCTGAATTCATCTACCTGGGGAACAGTATCTTCATTGACTGGGACGTGGAGATGTACTATGCTCCCCAGGACTTGCCTGCCAAAGCCCGTAGCACCAGTCTCAATGTCCAGCTGGGCCAGGTGGGGTACATCTTCTCGGACAAGACTGGCACGCTCACACAGAACATCATGACCTTCAAGAAGTGCTGCATCAATGGCATTGTCTACAGCCCAGAAGAGGAGAATATATGTGAGGAGAACCCCTCCCTCTGCAATTCATTTGCCGATCAGAAGCTGCTGTTCAGAAACTCGAAGCTCCTGAGTATTGTGCACGCCAACAAGGACAACGTGGTGCGGGAGTTCTGGCGTCTCCTGGCCATCTGCCACACAGTGATGGTGGAGGAGAAAGACAGTGAGTGCTTTGCTGGCTTCATGGGCCCTGGAGCTTCTGAGGTGGTGGTCTGGCCTTCGAGGTTGTCCATCCCAACCCCCAGGGCTCCTGTTACCCACCTTAGAGGGTGGTCAGGCATGAGGCTGGAGATCTGTTGCTGAGCTGGGAAGAGGAGGTCCCAAGGGCCTAAGTGCCCACTTTCTTTTACTTGGCTTAGAGGTTGTACTGGCCCAGGAGACCATTGTCTTATATCTGGTGAGCACCAACTGTGTCCATTGGAGATGGGTGGTAGGTTCCCAAAAAAGACAGCATGTCCTCAGCAAATGTTCCCCTCCCACATCCCATCCCATGGCCCCTCCCCTGCCAGATCAGCTACTCTACCAGGCAGCATCCCCTGATGAGGAGGCACTGGTCACAGCGGCCCGGAATTATGGCTATGTGTTCCTGGCACGCACCCAGGACAGCATCACGGTGAAGGAGCTGGGGGAGCAGCGGGTATACCAGGTCCTGGCCTTGATGGACTTCAATAGCATCCGAAAGCGGATGTCCGTTCTGGGTGAGCGCCCTCGGCCCAGGGTTGGAGATTGGCAGGAAGGGGAGCACTTATGGGTAGCCAGGCCTCTCCTTCCACAGTCCGAAACCCCGAGGGCTCCATCTACCTCTACACCAAAGGCGCAGACACTGTCCTTTTTGAACGCCTGCATAAGAAAGACATGTATAGGAAAAAGCAGATCGTGAAAGCAGCTACAGAAGAGGCCTTAACTGTGAGTCCTGTGAGAAGGGAGGGAGGCTGGGTAGAGGGGGTAAAGAAAAGGGAAGGTGTGCAGAGAAATGGCCTCAGGTACACAGACTAGTCATATACAGTTGGCCAGGCTATGCCCTTAACCCTTCACAGAGGGAGCATTTTTTCTAAGTGACACAAGTGACCCTCTCTGGTTAGGCTTTGGCCCTGGATGCTCCCAGCCCCCTCAAACCTTTTCTAGTCAGGTGTGGGTTCTGAGACACACTCTGCCCCAAATCTTTTGTCTCCATGAGTGAACCCCAAATGTCTCAGCTAACCTTTTGAAGCTGTGTCCTGCTGCCCTCTCTAGACTAACTCTCCTTGCCCACAGGGCATTCCCCAGGACCCCAATTTTCCCCATGCTCATGCGATGCCCCAGGAACTTTGCACACACTGTTCCCTCTGCTTGGATGTCTTCCTCCACTCTGTTACTCAGGATCTTTTGATCCTCAGGGCTCTGCTACCTCCAGAGAGACTTTCCTGCCTGACCCTAACATGGGGCTGACATGTTATGCCAGGTTACTGCTCTATGGCCCAGCTCTGACCCTTTGAGATTGCCCAAGGGCTTTGCTGAATCCTCAGCATCACCCAGCACAGGGATCAGGGTTTGTGCAAAGAGTGTTCTTGGTGTCTCATTCAGGACTTCTCAGAGTGCCCAGCTCTGTCAGGAGCAGGAGTCCAGGGCAGGTAACTAGTCTCTAAGAACTGGGGAAGTGCAATCAAGGTTCAGGGAGCCTAGGCACAGGGAGAAGGGGCTGAAAGAAGCAGAGGGAGGCAGAGGTGACAGGGTGGCACCTGTCTGCCCGCCCGGCCCCCAGTCCTTTGCTGAGGAGACCCTGCGCACACTGTGCCTGGCCTACAAAAAGGTGGAAGAGGACCAGTACAAAGAGTGGAACCAGCGGCACCAGGAAGCCAAGATCCTTCTTGAGAACCGAGCCCAAGCCCTCCACCAGGTGTACGAGGAGATAGAGCAGGACCTCCAGGTGAGCATGGCACAAGAAGTGAGGGGGCTCCAGCACCCTGGCTATGGGACCATGGATCTCCCACTTGTGCTGGGGTTAACTGGGTCCCTGCTCAGTCAGTCTATTCCTGCTCACTCCCCATCCAGCTGCTGGGAATCACAGCCATTGAAGACAGGCTTCAGGATGGTGTTCCTGAAACTATCCAGTGTCTCAAGAAAGGGAACATCAAAATATGGGTACTCACAGGGGACAAGCAAGGTAGGTCCTAGGGTGGCCATTGATGTGGGAGAAAGGACTTATAGATGCCCCAAGTACTATACCATCAACCTATCCCACTGGTCTGGGTTCAGTCCTGCCCCCCACCTTGTCCTGGGGAAAGGAAGATGGGATGATTAAAACTGCTGGCACCTCCCTCAGGTGGGTGCCAGTAGGTTCTGAATTAGTGCTTCTGTGGGTGGGAGGCACATACACACAAAATATTTAAAATGACGTTTTACAGCGGCGTTGTTATAAAGACGAATGTCAAGGCTGGAAAACATAGTTTTATTCAGATTTTAAAGTAAGTTCTTTTGGTGGGTTCCTAAAAGTGCCCATGGGCCCTAGCCTGATAAGTCTAATGATCCCTTGGCCCCTGCCCCAGATAGCCAGAGTGCAGGCCCCTTTGCTCAGAGCTGCAGGCCAAAATCTCAGGGCAAGCTCTCATTGGCCAGCCTGGGTTGCACCCTTCTCTGAACCAGTTGCCATAGCCAGGAGTGGGCTGAGTGCCTGGGCATGGCCCCAGGCAGGGGGCTGAGCTGGGCTGGTTTGCAGAGACGGCGGTGAACATTGGCTATGCTTGCCAGCTGCTGTCTGAGGACATGCACATTCTGGATGAGGAGCAGATAATGTAAGGAGTTGGGGGTGGGGGCAGGTGAATTGGTTGGGGGCAAGGTTAGGGTGGGGGATAGTGAACACCCATGGCCACCTAGGTGTGGCCCTGGGGATCAGCAGAGTGTCCTCAGCCTCCACCTGGCTGGACTCCCAGAAGGGGAAACTGAGGCACAGCTGGAGGTGGAGGATGGAAGGAAGCTTGTTCCTGGGCATGGCTGAGCCCCAACTGGGTCCCTGCAGTGCAATCCTTGGAGCCTACCAGGAGACCAAGAACAACCTGCCTCAGGTCGAGATGGCTGCCATGATCGTTAGTGGAGAATTTCTGGTCAGTATCAACTCAGGCTTGACTGGGGTCCCTAACATGGGGGAGGGAACTGGGAAGGCGGGGTGGGGGTAGACTGTTGGAAAAGCCAAAATGAAAGCCACGCTAGGAGATGGTTTTCAAATGAACTGGAGCCCATGTGGTCAAGTCCACACTGGGGTTTGGGGCAGAAGGCCAGGAGGGAGCTGAGGCCAGTTGGGGACGTTCATTAAGGGGAGAGGTGAAGGCAGAGTGATGTGCCCCCTCGCCCCCACCCTCCCTTGCTAACCAGGACCAGCTGATGAAGAGTGTAGCAGCGCCGGTGCTGCAGAATAAGGACTCCAACACCCCCCAGAGTCCGGAGGTGTGGCGGGAACGGACCTTCGTGGAACTGGCCTGTAGGTGCAAAGCAGTCATCTGCTGCCGGGTGACACCCAAGCAGAAGGCTTTGATTGTGGCACTGGTCAAGAAATACAAGAATGCGGTGACCCTGGCCATCGGGGATGGTGCCAACGATGTCAACATGATCAAGAGTGAGTGGTGGGCACTGGTTCTGGGGGGAAGGCATGTGGTGGGCTGGGGGTGGCCCAGGGCCAACATGCTGCATATGCCCCTGCAGCTGCGGACATCGGTGTAGGGCTGGCGGGCCAGGAGGGCATGCAGGCGGTGCAGAACAGTGACTACATGCTGGCCCAGTTCCGCTTCCTGAGGCGACTGCTGCTGGTGCACGGGCGCTGGTCCTACATGCGAGTGTGCAAGTTCCTACGCTACTTCATTTACAAGACGCTGGCCATCATGATGGTTCAGATCTGGTTCGCTTTCTACAGTGGCTTCACTTCTCAGGTGCACTGCAGGCAACAGCCCTTTGGGGATTCTCTGTGTTGGGGTTCTGTGCCCTTCCCATGGCCTGCAGAAGGGTGGTGGGCACTACCTACTCCACTCTAGGGTCCTCATGGGGCAGGGCTTGCCTGAGGTCGCAGGGCCAATCAATAATTTCTATGGCATTCATAGAGGTATAGAGTATAGATAAAGGGAGGGGATGGTTTCTGCTCAGTCAGCTTTGAGCCTGACATTTTCAGGGATATTTGACAGATTTGAGCTCTGAAGGCACGCAGGACAGCACATGCTCCAAAGGGTAAATCTTTCTAGGGGAAAGAGGGAAAGCTTGAACCCCAGAGAAGATAAGACTATGGGGTCTGGGTCCTAACTTTAAGACACTCTTGACAGTGTTGTGGTGAAGAATAAGTGTGCCTCCTAGAGCCTGAGAAGAGTCCTAGGAAGATGATTTCCCATGAGTATCAGGAAATTGTTTGAAAATAGATGGCTGTGATAGAGAATAAGCTGCTGTCATTGTTATCCAGGCATTTGAGAGAGAGCTTTACCAGAGGGCACCCTTGAATAAGTATAATTGTTTGTTTTACTTTTTTGTTTCCAAATATTTTATTCATTTAGATGCTGCTGTGCATGGAATTTGTTTTCTTAATTCCCTTTTGAGATAGCTTATTGCTGGTGTGTAGAAACAGATGGGGTTTTTTGCTAAATTCTTTTTATTGACTCTAGGAGATTTCTGGAGGATCCCTGGGGAGTTCCTGCATGTCATCTGCAAATATAGTGTTTTCCCTTTCTTCCCCTCCAATTTGGATGCATTTTATTTCCTTTTCTTACCTAATTTCTCTGGCTGAAACTCCCAGCGAGATGGTGAGGGTTGGCATCTTTTTTTTCCTGGTCTTACTGAGGACATCATTCTGTCTTTCTATACTTATTAATTGGACTGCTTCTGTAGGAAGAACCAACCATTCCTTCTCCCTCACTTATTTATGAAATTACTTATTTTTATCAGTTTGGACTCCTGGATATTTTTTATTGTGTATTTCATTGCTCCGATTGTCCCCAGCCTGTTTTATTCCCTGAGCATAACTTCATTTTTGGCACTACAAGAGGTTCCAGGCTAATAAGGAAACCTGGTTCTTTTCATCAGAGAAGGGTAGTGTTAGACACTAAGAGCTAAGTGCTCAGTGTGTGCTTAGGGCCACTGGGTGCTATTACCCTCTCAATAGACAGATTTAGGAAATGTACACATATTAGCCCATGGATAGAAGCATCTCTATGTCTATTTATATGTCTATGTTTATTTATATGTCTACCCATCTAGCTTGTGTATATTAAAAATTATGTGAGTTCACACTGATAGTTCTGATTCCAATCCTACAAGACAAGGCTCAGCTTAGCCCTTTTCCAGATACTCATTTATGACACTTCTCCAGCAGTGAGAAACTTGATTCTTATAAAATTCTTGATCATTATTTTTTGCTTACTTGCGGAATGCGCATAAAATGATTTTTGAGTTCTGGGTCAATGTGGCTCAGTTGGTTGGGCGTTGTCCCATGCACTGAAAGGTTGCTGTTTCAATTCCTGTGTCAGGGAATATGCTCAGATTTTGGGCTTGATCCCTGGTGGGAGTTATGCAGGGGACAGCCAATCAATATTTTGTTCTCACATCAATGTTTCTCTGCCTAACTCTCTCAAAATCAATAAAATATTTTTTTTTAAATTTTGTCAATGTAAGAAACATTCAAATCTGTAGAGAATTTTTGTGACAATTGCTAGGAAGCAAAATTTCAGCAGATTAAGAAAATGCTCCAGAGAATGGCAGTTTTGCACCCCATTTTATATATAACAATCAAAAGAGCAGATCCAAGTGGGTTACATGAAATTTATTAGTGATAAATTGGGGAGGTGCATGAAAGAAAGCAAAGCAGGGAAACCTCTGGAATTGAATGAAAAGTAAAATGATAGACACATCTTTTACATAGGTGGGTACAGGATAGTTAACAGTCAAAAATTAATAACAATGGGGGGATTTGTGGTCTCCACAAAGTGGAAAATTACTGTGACATTCCAAAGATGTGCTATACATGCAAAAAGACTATAGGTTCAGTTAAGGTAAAGATTGACCTTTGTCAGGGAAGATGTAGGTCTAGGACATGACTACCCACCATAAACTGCTTTTAGTTTTAAAAGTTTTTATTTTAGACCATCCTTTGTGGTTATGTTAGATCTCTGAGTTTGCAAGACTGCCACACAGGCATTCTCTAAGCTTGTCAGGTTAGCATGTGGCCCCTATTTGTCCACATTTTAAAAAATGGTTTTTGGAACAGAAGCCCTCTCTCCTCCATAGACTTTAACTGGACTGGATTCAGGCTTTGGGAAGAGAGTTGGTTGAGCTCATTGTCTGCTGGGGTCTCTTCCAACTCCTTTTTACCCATCAATGTCTCCCTAAATCTAAAATGACCAAAAACCACACTTTTTAGCCATATTTCCTCCTATAGCTCTTTACTTGCAGTTCTCATATTAAACACACAATGATTCTATTTTAAAATAATTAGATTCTGCTTTTTCTCTCTTTTATTTTCCAAACTTAATCCATCCGTTGATTATAATGCAACTTCCTAACTCACTAGGAATCCTTCCCAGGTTCATAGCTAACTTGAGTGGGTCTCCTCAGGTAAAGAACATTTCGGTTTCTGGCCATTTGGCATCTGAAGGCTTATCACTAACCACATTCTCCCATTCCTTCCCACCCTTAGCCTCTTTATGAAGGCTGGTTCCTGGCGCTCTTCAACCTGCTGTACACCACCCTCCCGGTTCTGTACATCGGACTGTTTGAACAGGTGAGCAGGCCAAGGACTTGCTTCCTCCTTCCCTGGAGATGCTCCTGTCTCTGCCCCACCTCCTCCTCTGGGGGGTTGGGCTAGGGTGGGGATGGGACTGGGAGAGTACTACTGTTCCCACCAGAGCCCAACCTGATAGTGGATGAAGCTCTCTTGCCCAGCTACCTCCCCCAAGTCTCAATCCCACAGTGGGGAGGAGATCAGAAAAGATGGTTCTCCTCTTTAAGAGGGGTCTGGCTACGTAATCCAGATTAGGGCAGTCCAGTAGAACCTTTAGGATGATGGAAGTGCCTCATGCCTATGCTCTTTACCAACCACAGAGGGCTAACAATTAGTACTTGAGGCTTCCTGGTGTGACCTGAAGAATGAGACATAGCATTTCATCTTTTTAAAGTTTTTAAACTGGCCAAAACCGGTTTGGCTCAGTGGATAGAGCGTCGGCCTGCGGACCGAAAGGTCCCAGGTTCGATTCCGGTCAAGGGCATGTACCTGGGTTGCGGGCACATCCCCAGTGGGAGATGTGCAGGAGGCAGCTGATCGATGTTTCTCTCTCATCGATGTTTCTAACTCTCTATCTCTCTCCTTTCCTCTCTGTAAAAAATCAATAAAATATATTAAAAAAAAATAGTAATTAAAGTTTTTAAACTGGTAAAACAGTAACAAAATTCACCATCTCACCATTCTCACATGCATGGTTCAGGCATGTCAAGCATGCATGTTCCTGGGAAACCAACCTCCAGAATTCCTCCACCCCACCCCCACTCCAGGATGTGAGTGATGAGCAGAGCCTGGAGCTGCCTGAGCTGTACATTGCTGGCCAGAAGGATGAGCTCTTCAACTACTGGGTCTTCTTCCAAGCCATTATCCATGGCACAGGAACCTCCCTGGTCAACTTCTTCATGACCCTGTGGATCAGCCATGACATTATTGGGCCCATCAGTGACTATCAGTCTTTTTCCACTGTCATGTCCCTGTCGGGCCTGCTATCAGTCACCATGGAGGTAGGCAGGGCTGCTGCCCTCCCCACTCCCAGTGGGACTTTGGACACCAACCATGGAGGTCTCATCACTTGGTGACCCTCACTGAGAGGCTTTAGCAGGTGCCACCCTTCAACCTCCTCCACATAGCCTTGCCTGGAATTCTGACCCTCCTGGTTTAACCCTCCTTTTTCCCATTCAGGTCATCCTCATCATCAAGTACTGGACAATCCTGAGCGTGCTGGCCATTTTCTTCAGCCTCTGCTTCTACATAGTCATAACTAGGGCCAGCCAGAGCGTCTGGCTCTTCACAGTCTCCCCCACAACCTTCCCTTTTATGTGTGAGCCTTCCAGTAAGAGATAGGGGGGCCAGCCCTGGAGATGGGTGGGACCAGTGTTGTAAGAGAATTTGCACAAAGGCACCCTGGGGGTTAAGGGTGAGGAAGGAGGTGGGTGTCAGGAAGAGGGGGTTTGGAGCAGGCTCTAGGGAGGCTAAACCCTAAGGCAGGCCATGACCCTGCCCTGTCTCCTTCAGCTGTTGAACAAAACGTGATATCTCACCCCTACGTCCTGCTGGTGATCATGCTGAATGTGTCACTAAACACCCTGCCTGTACTGGCCTTCCGTGTCATTTACCAAGCCCTCAAGCAGCTACGTCTCAAGGTGAGGGTGGCTGGGGTCCCCACTGCACATTGCTGGAAGCAGGGACTCCAAGGAGACATAGAGCTGGGGTTAGGGGTTTGGAGACCCAGATGCACACCCAGTGCCCTCATGGGAGGCCAAGTAATGGGCTCTGGGACCCCAGAAAGGAAACCATACTTCCTGGAGTGGAGGTGGCCAGCCTGGTTCCAGCACTGACTTTGTCAGACTTCCACCACGAATTATCTAGGACTTGGGGATTGAGATGACAGAAATGACCTGGAAAAGGTTTAGGCAAAAGATTAAAAACACCCCCAAATGTGTCTGTTCATCGATAGATGAATGGATAAACACAGTGTGTGGTTCATCCACATAGTGAAATATTATTCAGTCTTTAAAAAGGAGGAAATTCTGACCCCTGCTACAATGTGGATGAACCTTGAGGATATTATGCTCAGTAACATAAGTCAATCACAAAAGGACAATACTGTATGGTTTCATTCATAGGAGGAGGTCCCTAGATGAGTCAGATTCATAGAAACAGAAAGTAGATAGTAGGAGCAGGTGCTGGGGGAATTAGTGTTGAACGGGAACAGCTTGAATTTGGGAAGATGAAGTTCTGAAGACGGATGGGAGTTGATGGTTGCATAACAATGTGACTAAATGTGCTTAATGCCATTGAGCTATACTCTTAAAAATGGTTAAAATGGGACATTTCATGTCTATTTTACCACAATGAAAAAATGCTGGGGGACTTAAACTGTCTCAGGTAACAAACCTAGAAGGACAAGCTGCTGGGCTGTAGAATTGACTGGAATAGTGTACCTGATATGGCCACAGCCCTGCCACGTTTTGTCACACAGGCTGGAGACATGGCTACCCTGTGGTTAATTTCTCTTTCATTTGACATACGAGGGCACTTAAGGCACTTGGCAGTTGATCCAGAATCAGGTCCCATCGAGGACTCTAGTTGGGTCAACTTGGGTATGGAAGAGCCTGGTCAATGTATGGTGGCCACTGGGAGCAGGTAACCCAAGAGCAGTCTGCACAGTGTGAGATCTTGATGACCCTTGCTTGCCCCTTTACTCTGCAGGAAGAGAAGGAGGAGGAGAAAGCAGAAGAGGTGGGAGAGGTCCCAATTGAGGAGATGGCTGAGGTGCCACGGGCCCGTCGCTCAAGCTATGCCTTCTCCCACCAAGAAGGCTATGCAGACCTCATCACACAGGGCACAATTATGCGCAGGTCACTAGGGTTCAGCAAATACTCTGATGATGATCGTTCCTCAAGCATAGATTTCGTCTGATGAATTTTTTCATGAGCATTAAGTCACCCTGGTACCAGTAGAAGATGTCATTCCTGGGGGAGAATAGGTTCTAGCACTGGAGGGGGAAGGTGTCCTCTGAGGATATCATCTTTGTGATGAGCTCCTCCTTGATTGTGGAAGGGCAGTCCTCTCTCTCTCTCTCTCTCTCTCTCTCTCTCTCTCTCTCTTTTTTCCTTTTTGGTATCTGTAATAATGAAAAAATTAATTAGGCCATGAAGTCTATAAATTAATACTGTTATTAAAATGCTCTTTTGAACAACACATTTCTGGTGTCTGGTACAGTTTACCTAATGTCCATTTTCATGTAATTCTTACACAGTATAGATTCCATTAATGTCATCTAAATATTAAAAACATTTGACATTCTTCTAAGTCTTCACAACACCCCTGTGAGGTAGTATGTGGTATTGACTACATACCACAGATGGGGAGTTCTAGGTATGGAAAGGTGAAGGAGGTGGCTCTTCAAAAGCCATGTGGCATAGCCAGGTGTGGTGTGGCATCAGGGCTGCACTCCAGCCAGGGCTCCTCTGCCTTGACATTTACAGGTCCCAGCACCACTGCAGAACTGCATGGAAAGACTCGGGGTGAGACCAAGTTCCTGTCTAGTTGAGAATTAAAGAAGGGTCTTTATAGGTCTTGTTTCTCAGAAAGCCAACCACTCACCCTAATCTTGAAAAAACTATGACTGACTGTCAGTTGCTCTTTTTAAGACTTTCATGAGTCGACTTGAATTTTGTAGCTGTGTGCTCAAAGCCGTTTGGAAGACAATTTGAAATGGCATTAGGGATGATGAAATTTTGAGAACAAAACATAAAAATCAATAGTTAATAGAGTTAAATCAAAACACAAACTATATGTTATGGTAAAAGAATAAAATCCTAAGTAAGTGGAGAATAATATTTCTCAGTGTTTAACAATGCCTTGCACAGAGCAGGTGTTGAATAAGCATTGCTTGGATAAAGGACAAATGACACATCTTTAACATGCCTGTCACAATAACCCTGTCTTGGGAGAAGGGCAGAGGCCCATGGATTCCCTGGCCTGGGATGCCCGGCTAATACAAAGCTGCTCAGCCAAATCCCCGGGGTGTCAATACTTCCTTTCTGCCCACTAAAAGGTGGGGCTGTAAACACAGACTCTCCTTTGAATTTATACTGCTATTTATAAAAACTATTCAAAGATGATTAAATATATGAAGAGCCATAGTGCCTTATAAGGAAGTGTCTTTAAAGTATGTAGATGCTCATGCACTAAGGACAGAAATGAGGTTAAAGCTGTGCCATTGTGTGTTTTTTTGGTTTCAGATTTTCAATTTATTTCTAATGCTAAAAAGCACCGGTGCCCACATAACCCTCCTGCTGAAAAAGCCTTATTCGGAGTAGTGAGTCCAGCTCTCCAGAGTGTATCCTAAACGCACTTTTGGCCTCAAAGGATGGCATGTGGCCTGGGCTTGCCCCAGGTCACACACTGGAGCGGCATTGCTGAATATTGCTGTTATTACTCCTTGTCCATCTTTAATCCATGTCCTATCTTGACTCAGCCCGAGAATATATTGCTCCCAGAAGTTGGGGTGGGGTAGGAGTTCCTTCGGTCCTAAAGCCTTCTGACCATTTGGTCTTGAGTTATATTCCGGAAGAGTAAATGGTGGCATATAAATGATCAGGAAAATCTGTTCTTCAGAGTGGCCGACCAGAGGTTGCTTTGTCTCAGGCTGCATGGAGTGGGAGACCCCTCTACCCTGGCATGTCATAGCTCCACCTTGATCCCTTTTATTATAGGCAGGCCTGTGGGCACCTGCTTCTTATACTCCAGGTACTCCTCTCCAAAAAAAGTGAACTTAATGAAATTTCCTCTTCTGTTTGGCGGCAAGAGACTTGCCATACTGTCAGAGCATAGCCAACATCACAGACAGGGTTGCACAGCATCACTGGTGTTCTGATACTCTAGTAAAACCACCCAAAGGATGCTAGAATCAGGCATACACTCCATTTGTCACCAGACTATGGGCTTCTGATTTTCCATTCTGCACCATGTGGTTGAAATTGCAACAGCTGTAAACATGGCCACTTTCCTCAGACATTCTCCAAAGACCATCAGCAGGCCTGTGGCACTGAGTCAGGTGATCCGCTTCAGGTTCTGGCCAAAAGATATTTTGAAGTGTGAACTCTATCCGAAAAGAAAGAGTAGCTAGCTATGTGTACTCCAGACTGAGATTCCAGAGAAAGAAATCCAAGGACAGATTTTGGGGATTATTGACCACTGTGGCTAAGTATTCAGAATACTGGAACAATGTCAGGGAGGGGGCATATATACTGGAAGCCACTGGTTTCATATCCAGGGCAGGGGCTTAAGAAGGCTCTCAAGGGGCTGAAATCACCATGTATGGGGAAATCCTCTACTGGCCGTGGGGGGTGTATTAGATGTGACCAACCACAGTGATTCCAAGAACACTGGCTAAAACTTGCTGGAACAGGAAGTCCAGAAAGCAAGCTCAGATGGCTATGTGGTCTGTGGTCGCTCGAAGGGCAGCTGGTCCAGCAGCAGCAGCAGCAGCAGCTCATTGAGCCTGACTAAGTAGGGCCAGTTAGGAACTCTGGACTGGACTGTTGAAGCCTGGGTTGGCCCCATAGCTGGTTCCCTGCAGGGGGTCAGATAGGGGTCTGATGCTGAGGGTGCCTCAGTCTGGAAACAGGGCCAGCTGGAAAGGGAGCCACCCTCCCACCCCGTGCCCCCTGTCCATCACACAACACATGTTCCTGGGGAACCTAGTGCTAAACCATTGTAGACAACCTGTTTCTGGTCAGGTTTCCTCCAGGACAGAGCACCTCCTTCACTGCGATCTAGATCTATTGAAAGACAATCCTCCACACAAGGGTTTGTCCTTCCACACCTATGGGAGCAAGGAAGAGGAGGGGGACCATGGTGGCTCATCCTCCCCATCTCCTAGCCATCCTCTCAGCTCCCTGGGAGCTGTATGCACCAATCTGCTGGGAGCTTTGTTGGGAAGGATGGGGTTGAGGAGTAGGCGTGGAGGGAGCTGCTCTAACCCGAAGGATGTACTACCTCGGCTCGGTGAGAGACACCTCTCCCACCCCACTGAGGCTTGGGGCACCAGCTGGGACACATCTTCTTGTAAATTGTAAATGTTTTTAATGGCACCTACAATGGTGAATTACTTTCAAAAAGTTTCACTTTACTTTGCCCAGATCCATCAGAGGAGTCACTATCTGTGGCAGCTTTAGCCTTACAAAATGTATTTCTTAGTGGTTTTCCACATTTCAACATTAAAGGAGTTTAGAAGAAGTTGATTTCAGCATTCATGGATGACTTTGAGGGGTTCGACTCGGGGGAGGACATAACTGCAGGTGTGGTGGAAATAGCAAGAAAACTAGAATTAGAACTGAAGATGTGACTGAATTGCTGCAATCTTATGATAAAACTTTGATGAGGAGTTGCTTCTCATGAATGAGCAAAGAAAGTAGTTTATTGAGACAGAATCTACTCCTGGTGAAGGTGCTATTAAGATTGTTGAAATGACAACAATCTTAGAATATTACATAAACTTAGTTGATAAAGCAGTGGTAGGATTTCAGAGGATTGATTTCAACTTTTGAAAGAAGTTCTACTGTGGATAAAGCCACTATGGGAAACAGTGTAGAGTTTCCTCAAAAAAAGTTGAACTGCCATTTGACCCTGTGATCCCACTTCTAGGAATATATCCTAAGAATCCCAAAACGCCAACCAGAATAAATATATGTACTCTTATGTTCAGAGCAGTGCTATTTACAATAGCGAAGACCTGGAAACAGCCCAAGTGCCCAACAGTAGAGGAATGGATAAAAAGAAATCTGTGGTACATTTACACAATGGAATATTATGCAGCTATAGAAGAGAGAGAGAGAGAGAGAGAGAGAGAGAGAGAGAGAGAGATCTATACCCTTTGAGATAGCATGAAGGGACCTGGAGATTATTAGGCTAAATGAAATAAGCCAGTCAGAGAAAGACAAATATCACATGATCTCACTTCTATGTGAAATCTAATGAACAAAATAAAGTGATGAATAAAATAGAACCAGAGGCATGGAAACATGGAATGGACTGATGAATCTCAGAGGGAAGCGGGGAAGAGGAACAGGAAGAGATTAACCAAAGAATTTTTATGCATATAAATAGGGTGGTGAAGGCATGGGGCTGGGTGGGAACCTGATGGAGAGGGACAATGGGGAAAAAAGGGTAGAGAGCTGTAATACTCCCAATAATAAAGATTTAAAAATGTATTTCTTAAACAATAAGACTCTAAAGTGGATGCTATGTTAGCAGGCAAAGAAACAACATTAATCTTGTTGTCCATCTCCAACAGAGCTCTTGGGTAAACAAGTGCATTGTCAATGAGCAGTCATATTTTGAAAGGAATCTTTTTTTCTCAACAGTGGGCTTAAAATATTCAGTAAACCATGTTGTGAACAGATGTGCTGTCGTTTTTGAAAATATGAGCTCAAACTTGCAATATAAGCCCTCTGAAAAAAAAATTACAGAGTTTGTACTATTTATAACTTAACATACAACACTGAGTTTTACCTAACACCTACCAACTCCAGACACATATCATTCCAAAATTTAAAACAAAGCGAATAAGAAAAGCAGAAACAAACCAGATTCACTTATAATTAATAGGAAAAATGTCTTTATCTGAAAGATATAAAATTGGCTTTTTAAAAGGAAAATTTAGTTAAATATAAAAATTAAAATAATCTCAGCAAAATAATAAAAAAAGAAAGGAAAAAATTTGTGGCCTTCAATTATAGAAGGAAAAAAGAGATTATAATATGTAATGCAGGAAAAAAAATGTTTGTATCAGATTTTACAAGGTACATTCTTTATACATTCTCCATAATAGAAAACAAGCCAGTTGCCTAGGGGTTGCATGAACATGCTGTTACAAAATGAAAAGTTGACATTTGAATCCAGGTCAAGAAATAAAAGCATCAGAAATGTTTATTTTAAGGCTAAGAAACTTGCATCACAAAGTTTTTATCAAAGTTTACTCTAACTTTGACTATACTAGTAGTACATATATATAAAATGCAGATAATTGAACTCATGAGTGGGCAAATGTAATGCCATTGAAGTTACGTAAAATAGCAATGCCTTAACATTTATCATAGCCTGTTTTCAACATGAAGAGCTTTGATTTATGTTATTTTTAGTTCCTGTGACCTAATGGATCTCCTTAAGAGAACTGTATTAGTTTCTTCCTAATGCTAGAAATAAGAGTTATATAATTAAGGAAATGTGAAGTTTTATTTTTACCCACAGAATATCTTAAAGTTGTATATAAATAATCCCTCCTTCTTTTAATTCTTAATGTTTTCTGTTAAAAACTAAAGAAAACATTTCCAATTAATGTTTTTATTTGACATTTTGTTTTTTACTTGTACCAATATGTGGAATTATATTTAAAGGAGACAATAAAACACTTGCACAGGATAAAAGAAGAAGAAAAATTTCGCCAACAAAATCGCATCTTACGTGGAGGGAATAAGTGTACCTAAATAATAAACTTAGGTGAAAACTTTTCTTATGATGCATATTGTAGTGTATGTTGTAAAAACTTTTCTGGAAGGCACTTCAGCATTAAGTATAAAGATAGTTAATATCCATATGCTCAATGATTCCATACCTAGGATTTTATCCAAAATAAGTAAGTATGCCACAACATTTATTCAAGGCTTCTCATCAAAATTGAAAACAAGCTAAAGGGACATGAATAATGGTTTTTAAATATACATAATTGTATAACCATAGAGTTATGCACAATTTGGCTGTTGATTAATATTACAGGATATTCAAATGAAAAATCAAAACAGGTTACTGAACACATGTAAGTGAACACTTTTATGTGCACAGGAAAAATAGTATGGAAAAGAATCCTAACTATTAACAATGATCATGGATGAGTTTGGGAGTAAGAAATGGACTGGCAGGTAAACAGCTTATATAATCTTGTAAAAATATTTATAAAAATACTTATTGTCACATGAAACTACTAAATTTCTAACTTTCTAATATAAAGAAAAAGCGTATTATTTTTAAAGTTTTATAAAATGATTTTAAAGGTAGTTTATTTTTCAATGTATTTTTTAAAAAATCACTCTAAGCAAAGTAAATTCTTTGGACAATATTAATGATTACATCCTGGTATTTAATCTCAGGTGCTAAATACTTCGCTGCCATCTGCTGGGATATGGTTCCTAATTCATGCCCAGGCTCAAGCGTAGTTCTCCCTGAGAAACCGGAAGAGGTCCTTGGAGAAGCCACGTGTCATCTTAGTTCTCTGCCTCCAGCCTTCCTAGCCTTGGGCGTGGCGGGGCCACAACATCAGTAACAAAGAAACAGAATTTCCGGAGGACGAGGCCCAGAAATCAGGATTTTAAAAAGATTCCCAGGTGATTCTAATGGGCAGCCAAGGTTGAGAACCCCTGCCTAGGAGGATTAAAGTGCTTTGGCTTCAACATGAGAAAGTTAAAAAAATATAAAAACCACCACTTTCGGGGAGGTGCCTCCCCTCACCTGCCCTCCATGTCTCCCCTGCTCCAGAGAGCCCCCGCCCGCCACTGCCCTCACGCCTCACCACCACGGATGACGCCCCGCGGCCAGCGCGCCCTGTCCCCGCCGGCCCGGCCCCAGCACCGCCGCCGCCCCCCGCGGCCCTTTCCCTGCGTGAGTGTGGCAAGAGCTTCCGCTACCGCTCGGA